TCTTTCCCTTTACTTCTAAAACCTTAATTTCAAAAGATTAAGTTACTGTCACAAAATTTGATCTTTATAAACATAATCTGAGTGTGCCCTTTCACATCATGCTAAAACAAATTTATCTGTAAAGGGCAAGGGAAAGGGACATTTCAACTGAATCTTAGGTCTGACAGTTATCATCACGGTAGTTATTTCCTCATATTTTTTCCTAAAGCAAGAAGCAAAATCAAGGAAGGTTTACATTCCTTTGTTCCTTGGGATACACTGATATAGAGGCCACAAGATTTCTTCAAAGTAGCCAGATTAGAAGTCATTACGCAGTCTACCACTGTTACATCCAGAAAGCACTACAACACAGTGAGACAAATGGAAAAATTGCTAGAGAAGCAAACAATCTCAGTGCCTCAATAAACCCCCATAATCTAATATGTGCTTGCCTATAACTCAGAATCAAATGTTGTTAATTAGACAGAACTACATTACATTCCACAAATATCTTCATGTGTTCCTAACTGGGGCAGGCATCAGTTTTCTATAAATGAAACTGTTTTAACTGTCTAGAACTTTAAAAAGGCTCAGAGAAATTTGTGAAAAAAAAAAAAAATTCTCCTGAAAATCAGTGGGTATCATGTCCCCTTCTTCTCCGTTTTAATTTTTGTGTTTATTTTGCATTTTAATATTCTTGATTTGTCCATGAAGACTAAAACTACACCTTAAAAAAACTTTACACACATAAAAGGTTAAGATACTACTACTATGTAACTTTTCTCCCTAAGGCAATTTAAAAATCAAGTAGTTGTTAATATTTGAAGAGTTCCTGTCTGTTTTTTAAAAAAGCAAAGTACCGTTAGTCAAAAAGATTACTTCTCACACTTTGTGAACCTTCAAGGTTTAGAATGCTTCCATCATGGTCACAAATGACAGTGTTACAATCTGTTCTCCAAAAATACATTTCCTAGTCACTGGTTTAAATTTGTTTTAACTAAAAAAAGTTAATAGTAACTGAGGTAAATAAAATTTTTACAAGTAAAATCCTAACAATTCTTTAAACAAAAAAAGAATATTGAGGCTTTTGATAACATGAATCAATGAAGCATCAATTAACTCTGATGTATTCTGACTTCATTATATGATAACTTTATATTGTAAATCTCTAAAAGTCCTATCTTTATATTTATGGTAAACAACTACACTCATTATGTGTAATTCTGTACACTGAATAAAGTGGGGAACAGCCCTAGAAGCTGTCATGGTAACTCACAAGAAGCTTACCACGTATAATGGAAACTAGACAAACACATATCTAGCGTTTACAAAAAGTTAAACACCAAAATCTGGCACTAAAATGCCAGTGAGGACTTTGGAAAACACGATTTCAAAGTACTTACTTGTGATGGCTACTGCTGTGACGATGGTGATGGTGATGATGGTGGTGATGATGTTTTGAATGATGCTGGTCTTTCTCAGTAAGAGATGAAGAAGATGAATTTGAATGTGACGATCCCAGGCTCTTCCTTTGTTCTTTTGTCTTCTGCAAAACTCTCTTGTACGATAAAGTACAGAGCCAGCATAATAACTTCCCATCAACCTTTTAAAAGAAAATACTTATATTAGATTAAATGTACGTGTAACTGGCTATAAGTGAAACCAGGTTAAGATAAACTGCTCAACTGCTGGTGTGCATGTGCGCGCTCTCTCTCTCGCTCTCTCACACACACACACAAACACACACACACAGACTGTTGCAAAATGGAAGTAAAAATAGACTTTTCCGAAACTTGGGGAAATGCTTATTTAGAGAATCATAAAATTAGAAAGGATAATATGTGGACTTCCATTAGTTTTGAGGCGTTTTTAAATTTGGAGAGGAAAACTTATTTTCTTATTACTAGAAAATAAGCATAACTTGATGACATACTTCAAAGAAACCTTATCTAAGCACTATCATAAATTCTTAAATTACTGTGTAACTACTAAAATGACAAAGTATTTCCCATGAAAGCAAAACTGTTATAGAAAAGATGAGATTGAATGACATATAGAATCGACTCTCATTTGCAGATTTTGTATTGGCAAATTCACCACCTATTAGCTAAAATTTATCTGTCACCCCTAAATCAATTTGTAGCACTTTTGTGATCATACACCCACATGCACAGAACAGCAAAAAAATGTGTGTAGCTAGACCGCAAATATTCCCAGATGAGGTTAACACGGTGATGCTTTGCTGCCTTTCTTCAGCTCTCATACTGTAAACAAGTATCCTTTTCAGTCTACCTACTATCACGTTTTTCACATTTGTGCTTTTTATTAGTGATTTCACTGTTAAAATGGTCCCCAAAGGTAGTGCTAAAGTGATGTACAGTGTTCCTAAGCATAAGGCGGCTATGATGTACTTTATGTGGAAAATACCTGTTAGATAAGATTCATTCAGGCATAGTTATAGTGCTGTTTACTATGAGTTCAATTTAATCAATCAACAATATATATTAAAGTGTATTTAAACAGAAACATACACAAAACAAAACAAGATTAGGTACCGATCCACTGATTACCACGTTGTGACCAGAGGCAGGGACCTACCCTGTATTGTCCATAGGAGCAACAGTTCTATTCACTAACTCAGTGTTTGCAGCAACTTTATAGAACACAACTCTCACAGACAATGGGAGGCCAGTGTCTGCGTGTCAACGGGGAGGAAAAGAGACTTCTTTCCAAAATTAAGACTAAAATTAAATTCCTATCCTCTATTTGTTCAAATGAGAAGTGCTGGAGGAACATGTCTTACAACTAGGGTACAGCTATTGCTGTGGAGGAACATGGCAGAGCCCCTCAAAGAGACAGTCATCCTCCAAATCAACTGAAACTGACAGTCATCAGGAGGCCTGTGTGAATGCTCAGCAGAGAAATGTCACACACATATAGATACCTTTTAAGTCACTGTAGGTAGAGGAAAACAAACATTGGTATAAAATATGAGCCCCATATCAAAAGGCACATAACTAACTTTGAATCATATGTGTTAAAGTGCCATCAGGTATATTTTCACACCAGCAACTTCAAGTAACCAGCAAAAAGGTAAGTGGCTGAAAAGATTTAAAAGCAGTTAGTAATTCTCCCACACCAAATACTAGATAACCAAATAGTACAGAATAGCTATCACAGAATGTTTTTTAAAGTAGAGTAATCCCAACTGATCAACATGAATCTACATATCATGCCAGCAAGGAGAAAATGCACTGTTCCTGCACTTTCATCTAACCACCTGCTTTCAGGGACCCAAAGAATACATCAAGCTTCAGTAATACATTAAGTATAATAACTTCCAACTTGTTTTTTATTTAATTTCCAGATGTCATAAAATAAATAAAACATACCTTTCTTCTTCCTTCCTCCTTCCGATCAAAAGCACATTGTTGTTTGCACTGTTCACAAGTCTGAGGTGGTCCATATTTTTTTTCTGAATTTGTGCAACGCTGACACTTGGTACCAATAAATGCTGCAATTATGTTACAGTATTGACAAGGCTTAGGCTGAAAAAGATATATATTTTCTTTAATTGAGATGTTTTAAAATACTAAAATTTTGCTGCATAAAATATACCCAGTGAACAGGACATATTTTAGGAATTAAGGAAACTGATAGGCAAAAAGTTTTCTGTGAAGTATGTTGCCCTATCATAGTCAAAGACATTTATTATGTTTCTATTCATTTGCTAACATTCATTTCTAGACTCATTAAACTTTTCGTTAGTTAAATAAGATCGCGAGAAATGTACTTATGACCTGCATAGTATGTTATATAATACAAAAGCTACATGTAAAGACGTTTCAATAAATGAAAACAAAGGTACACACTGACAGAAAAGTTTCATGTATCCAATATTTGGGGGAGTAAATTTCTACTAACTTAATATCCTGTTAGCTTAATTACTATATCATTTATTCAAAATACATTTAACAACTTTTCATCATATATGGGTACAGCTGATGCAAGAAATAGGTGAGTTTTCAACTAAAAAAAACTGGCACAAGCATATTTAACATAACTATAACAAACATACCTTGATTTTCTTTGATATTCAAAAGACAACTGAAGATTTTAGAATCCCTTAAGGCCAGAAATTTGACTAATCATGACTGTAATATACCAATAATAACTATAATATACATATAAGAAAAGAACTTATACTAGGGTAACTTCTTGACTTTTGTGACTAAATGCCTGAACTGTGCCACTATATAAAAACTGTCAGAGGTTCTGAGGAAGAGGTAAAGTACAGTTATGCAAACTTTATAAGTAGGTTCTCTACAACCAGGAGTTTGTTTGCTATATTTGACTCCTTAAAGAATAAAATCATAACTTCCCCACTGAAATTCAATATATATAAACATGCACATAATATGACTGTTTTAAAATTTTATCTTCCCATGAGACTCTCTATAGAAAGTTTCTTTCCTGATATATTTTGGTACTTGAAATATTTAAGAACACAATAGCATACATAGCTTTTAAAAGGTCCATCTTTGTGAAAACATTAACTGATCAGCAGCAATAAGATGAAAATATAAGATATACTTACGGTGCCAAATTGCTTCACATTTTGAGCACACTTCTTACAAATCGTGTTAGTTTTGCTGAAAAGGAAATTGTATATCAATGATGAAACTTATGCAGCACGATGCTGAACTAAAGCAAGCAAAGTGTACTATTAGTAGAAGTGTACCATGTGCTTTAGTAGTACTTAAAACTTACTCTAACACAGAATAAGAATTTTTTAAAAATGCAAATGTGAGGATCTTTTTAGGGCTGTATATTATCCAAATTTGCTCCCCTTAATTAAGATAAATGTTTTCATACATTTTTATTGTGTATTTTAAATGGAAGCAAATAAAAAAATCCTATTGTTTTCTATCTAGTTCCAAAATCCTCACACTTGCCACTATTTATGCACAGCACCAGTGGCTATCTAACCTTCCACTGGGCGCTCTCCAGTATTATGATGCTCACACCTACTTGTGAAGAAATTATTTGTTCTTCTCTTAACCTCTTGTGCATGCACTGAGGCTCTAACAGGAATCACTCCATTAAGAAATATGTGCTGTTCTTCCACTGGTAACAAGTTACTAGATTTCACCCTTGGAAGGTAGCTGGTAACACTATAGACCTTTCCTCAGGTCCATGTCAGCACTAACGTTCTGCCATTTTTTAATAGTTTAACAGTAACAGTTTATATTTGCACTTTTCGTTAGCAAGGCTGTACATTTTCCATGCAATAATTTATTTTTTATCTCCTCAGGTATAAAGTCTAGCTGTAAAATACCCATTAATTTTTGGTCAGCATTCTCTCTCCTACCATGCAGAAAGGGCTTACAACTTAAAGCTTAGAAACTAAACCATTTAATTTAAAAAAAATCTGTAACATAAATATGGGAGTACAACCCTCAAGTATTCCTTACAGACAATACTTTGTCTTTAACAATCAAAAACTGTTCAATATACAAACCTCTCTTGTTGAAATTCTGATCTGCAGTAAGTACATTTTACAATGGGATGCGCAATCCGACATTCCTGTAATAAGACAATATGTTAGTCATTACCTATCTCAAGGTCCTCAAAATTTCACGTTTCTGGTGGAAAATTATTACCCAACCTAGTCAAATGCCTAAAACATCAATAAAATCTGTCCCCCAACGTAGAAAATTGAGTGATTTATCAAATAAGTAGCCAATTACAGCATAATTCCTTAGGGAAGGCTTAGGTGTCTTTGTCTTTATTAGATGGTGGGGGTACGCAACAGATAAATTTAAAAAAGCTGTCAGGGCCGATTCCAAGGATTGGTTAAATGTGAAACTACTTATTATTTTGCACCGTTGCTCACAGACAGCATCCCGGCTTTAATGGGATGGGAGGAGCTCCAAATCATAGAGCATTCTGTTCCCAAGCCAGACGCTTCGCTTTCCTGGACAGGGAAGAAGGATGCCATCAGCTTTGCGGCTTCAGGTTCCTAGCAAGAAAGTGCAAACACCGTTCTCTGCCTCCCGGTGGAAGGAGAGGACAGACTAGACAGAAAACCGAGATGAAAACATCTCCATCCCGGGGTCTCTGCGGCATAGACAGGTGGCTGCCTCACGCAGCCCCACCCCTGAGACCCCTCAACGTTGCTGGGGCCCGGCCCCCTCCTGGGTCGCCTGGAAGAGGGCAGGGTTCCGTCCTCCTCTCAGGGGTTTCCCCAGCTGATGCCCAGGTCCTCGGATAACGGGGTCTCTGAGTGAGGAGGCGAGGGCTCCAAACCCCCAAGGCGCCGGCGAAGAGAGAGGGGCTGCAGTGCAGCGAGCACCCAGCTCCCTCGGGCTATGGCCGAGGAAACCCCGCCCGCCCACCACCCAGCGCCCACGGACCTTGCAAAGCTGCTGGCCCTGGGAGAGCTCCTCGAAGGGATAGCGCTGGGTGCACTTGGTGCAGGCGTACAGGGCCGAGGCCGCCATCCTGCTCCTCAGTCTCCTCCTCCACCGCCGCCCGCTCCGAGGCGGGGCCCTACGGGGAACTCGGGCGCCGCCGCCGCCGCCGCCGCCGCCGCCGCCGCCCGGGCCGCGGGCTCCTCCTCCTCCTCCTCCTCCCCCTCCCCCGCGCCCACCAGAGCCTTGACGCGAGAGACCAAGGTACTGCAGACGCAGCCGTCTCCCTCCGCCTCCACTTCCGCCCCAGCCCACCCAGTGACGCCGTCCCAGCAGCTCCCGCTTAGGCCCCGAGAGCGGCGGAGGGAGACGAAGCGGATAGCTCGCTGCGGTTTAGCTGCGCGGCGACGGATCCGCTTCCTCCTCGGCCTCCCTTCCCCACCCCTGATTGGCTGGGGCGGCTACTGCGTCACTCGGTCGCTCCGCCCAACTCCTAACCCCCGCTACGCGGGGAGCTCCCACAAAGGGAGGAAGTCGCTGACCAATAAAAGCCCGACGCTCTCAGCGCGCGAAAGCCGCTTTAAACTCACCCCGCCCAAAGGTCCCGGTCGCGGCTTTTCCTAGCAGCCAGTCCCAGGTTTGGGTGGGAGCTTCCGAATCCAATTGGGCAGTTGTTTGCGGAGGTTTACTCTCTGCTCCTACTGTTTTTTTTTCCCTTGACTTCTATTGGACTAAATCTTTAAGCTCCCTCTCATTCTATTTGTTATTGGTCGAAAGGTAAGTACCTCACGTGGAGAGGCGTCCCCGAGTCAAACTCACGCTCTCTCCGGCGATTAACGCAAGGGAAGTGATGGAGTGTTTTGAGCTTCGCGTTCGCTTTTATTTTATTACAGTCATCCCATTCAATCGCCACTGGAGACAACACAAACCCTCGCCCACGCTTCCCTTTGGAGAATGCCCGCCCCTGTGCAGACCCCCTTCAAGAGCCGCCCGGTAGCCAGCCAGCCCAATCCCTGCGGCCCGCTACCTTGTGACGTCACCGAGGGAAGAGGCGGATTCTCCTACCACCGGAAGACGTCAGATTTTTTGATTGGCTAGCCAGGACGTCCGTTAGGACGTGTTGCGCTTTTGGTGTGCGCTCCGAGTGTGGGCGGCCCTGTGGGGGTGTGTGGCAGGGGTTTCCAGACCCGGGGCCCACACACCAGCCCCTTCCATCAGGGGTTCGGTTTAGGGTCGCCCCTGGCGGGCGGCTCTCGAATCCTGAAGAACAGCACGCGAACCCGGACCCTCCCGGGGCTGCGGAGGTCGGCAGGAAGATGGCGGCAGCGTCGGTCTCTGAGACTTCGGCTTCTCAGTTCTCGGTAAGAAGCGGTTGACGTTCGAATAGGCCCTGGGTCGGTCCTGGCGCCCCTTTGCTTTTTCTCACTCTTCAGAGCGTTCTCGGCTCAGTGTCTCCATTTTGGGGAGCGGCGACGCGCGCCTAGATCGCCACTTGCTACCTCGGCGCCCAGCGCTCCTATGTCAAGGTTGCACCCTTCCATTTAGACAGGCCGGGCACGTCATTCCCCCCCCGCCTGCCTCTTTCATCTTTCGGCCTAACCCCCCAGGTTGCCGAACGTTGCCTGGACTCGCAGGGATGACTACCTACACCTTGGCCTGCGAGAACAGGGCTCCTGGGTCTCGTGGGTGTAACGGCCCCTCTTGGAAACTCTCCGCGACCAGGTGGGCGCTCTAGTCGGCTTAATGGGCAGCTGTTGAATTGTACGCAGTCTTGAGTGCTTCTGCTGATTCCTTTGCTTGCAGTGCCTCCCCCTCCCATCCTCCCAGTAACTTCGATCTGTGCTCATCCTACCTCGAGCGCGCGCGCTTCCCACCTCCTATATTACGGTGACCTCAATGTGTAGTAAATGCCCTTTTAGAGAGGCGACAAGGGGAGCCAGTCTTAAATATTGCATTGGCCTCTACAAGAGCCACCAGCCTATTCAGTCACTGGTATTTTGTGGAATTGGAGCGGGACCTGCCGCATTGGGAATAGATAGGCTGTAAATGTGAATGTGAAGCAGCTCAAGCTGGAGCCATTATCTCTTCATCTAGCAAATGCTGAGTGTCTGGCGTACTTTTAGGCTCTAGGATTACACCGATGAATAGGGGAGAACCCCTGCTCTGAAGGAGCAAAGCACTGAAGAGAAACTACACGTAATTAAATTATTACACAGTACAGTTTGATAAATGCCGCCCCGCTAGAATAACCTAGGCGAGAGTGATTAGCAGTGCTTGGGTAGAGAGGGTGGAGCTAGCTGGGTGGTGAAGGAATCGGAAATGCTTGTCCCAGGAACAGAAAAGGAAGGAGAAAAACTCACCGCAGGCATTTTGGAATATGTGCCAAGACAAGAGGTGTTTTCAGAAAACTTGTAAAAATTTGAATTTAGCAGAGGTAGTGTGGAGGTAGAGTTCGGTTACATGAATTATAAAAATAGGTTAAAATATGAAAAAAGAGAGAGAGAGGAGAATATCAGGGTAAGGTTGTCAAAGAAGTTAACGGGGAAAAGCTTAGGGGGACAGTAAAAGCAGAGTCACCTTGGTGAAAACACACTTTTCCTCAGTTTCAGCTTTTGGTGACTGTTGTTAAAATTTGTGTTAATGAGGCCAGAAGTGATCTTCAGAGTTTCAGCACTGTGGGGGTAGCAAGTTTGTAGAGAGGTCAGGGAAGATTAAGAGGAAGGAAGGAAGGAAACAATTGGAGTTATCCATGAATTAGTGAAAGGGAAGATAAAAGACGAGCTATTAGACTATTAAGAAATGTCATTAAGTAGATGGATGAGATGATATAGGAGTTGTGATTAATCAGATTTAATCAGGAGAAAAAATAATTAAACATAATTGGGAAAGGAGGGCTTTTCACCACTTTCAAAACAGCACTTGGAGACTGAGCAAGGAAAACTCCTATAAATGTTGATTTGAGCTGAACTCTGCCAAGGCCACCTAGCTGAGAGTGGTTACTGGGATGTGGTCAACCCTTAGTCTTTAAGAAACCTTGGACAGAAATCCTATAGAGTGTTTAATAGGAAAGCATATATATTTTTATATGCTAAGCTCAGCTTTAAGTGGATTCGAAATACTCACTAAGAATACCTAGGACCCTTTACAAATCAAAGTATAACTTTCTTAACTTTACCTGCTAAATCAAAATGTCTAATTTGGAAGTCACTATGTCTCAAAACAAAAATTACTAAATTTAACTTATCAGTGTATAAGAAATGGCCCTGCTTAGATACTTTAACTGTCCTGTCAGAAATAAGGCTGGCATTTCCAACAGAATTTAAAAAGCACTCCAGCTTAACATATAGCCAATCATAAAATAAGGCAACGAAAGAAGACCTTTTAAAACTACAACATGAACTCAGAAGGCTACTCATAATGAGATTTCAGGGTTGTGAACATTAACTATTTCTATTGTATTTAACATTGATAAACCCAGCATAGGTATAGTAAATGGAAATGCTTTTAGGAGGCAAGGAATTTTATCAGGTAGATTCACAAATAACAGTCTTTGGGAAGCAGGTGCAATGTAAATCTCAAATGTGAACAACATGGAAGTAGGTGATACTTTTGAATTGTTCTTGTAAGCATTCTTTTTCTGCAACAACAGCAAGAAGAGTAACAACTAGCAGCTAACATTTATTGAAAGATTGCTATGTATTAACCGACTAGTGGAGAGCCTCAGGAAAATAAGTATGATCAGGCATAATGATAACTGAAAGTACAGGCAGCCTAGTGTTGAAACAGAATATCTTTCCTGTTTTTGTTTTAAATTTTCCCCGGTAACCATGGTCAACACTCTTAGGTCACTTTGGACTTAATTAATAAGCTAATCTCCTAATTGGTCTCCCTGGCTTTTTTGCCAGGCCCATTGACAAACCTGCTCTGTATTTCTCTTAAAAATGATTTATGAATGTATCATAGATTTCATAACTAAATATATAAAGGATTTATTTTTGAGAATAATAAAATGAATACCTTCATGCCCCTTAGTGCATCTTCCTGCTTCTCTTTTACTCTCTCTCACACACACACACACACACACACACACACACACATTTTGAGATTATAATAATATATAATACTAGTATAGTACTATCCGGCAGGCATTTTAAATACTTTTTATTTATTAACTCATTTAATCCTCATAATAATCTTATGAGGTTGGCATTAGTATTTCCATTTTTGAATGAGCAAAATGAGGGACAGAGAGGTTAAGTCAAGGTTACACAACTAGTAAATGATAGAGCCTCTTTTATATTTCTGTATAGTATAGTATTTTGATGGGCTTTGGGGTTTTTAGGGTTGTTCATTTGTTTGCCAAGTATTGTAAACAGTCCTGTTGTGATCATCTCTATATGTTCACATGTGCAAAATTTTCTCTAGCGTGGCAGTTCTCAGAGAGTGGTCTGAAGACCTTTGGGGGTCTACAGTGTCCTTCCTTATCCAGCCACTTTGTGGGAGACCAGATTCTTCATGGACATCAACCAAAACAGAGAGAATGCAGAAGCAAATAAAATCTAGCAGCCTTCTTTAAGCCAACAGTTAAAGAGATTTGCAAAAAATGTAAAACAATGCCACTCTTTTCACTAAATTTTTTGGATGACGTAGTTATTTTTCATTCAAAAATTATATTTATGATAACATCATGGGTTTAATATTTTTATATTAGTAAATATCTTTAAATTTTCTCTTTTAATTTTTCATATGATAAATATCAATTGATATAACCCACATAAGCAAAAGCTTTTTGGGGTCTTCAGTAATTTTTAAGAGTGTAAGGGCGTCCTAAGACCAAAAAGTTTGAGGAGCAGCGATTTTTGAAACACAGGTTTGTACTGCGGGTTACAACTTAGTAATGGGTTGTAGTGTATGTTTAGAAACTTATGACTGACTTTTTTTTTTTTTTTTTTTTTTTTGAGGAGAGAGAGGAAATAATTCAGTGAAATGCTGGGTCATAGAGTGTGTGCATCTTTGGCTTTATTTGGTAATGCTGAATTGTTTCCCAAAGTGATTGTACCAGTTTACATTCCCATCAACAGTCCCCTTTAATCTATATCCTCTTTAACCGGTGGTGTTGTGTCAATTTTTTTTTTTTGCTGAGAGATGAGTGTGGTGTCCTGTTCTTATTCTTATTTGTGTTCTCTGATCATTGATGAAGATACACTTTTTTCTTCATAATTTTACTAGTCTTTTGTGTGTTTTGTTCTTGTTCTGTGAAATGCCTCTTAGTATCTTTTGCCTTCTTTCAATTGGTTTGTCTATTTTTTTTTTTTTTTTTTTTACTGATTTATAGTCATTCTTTACGTATTCTGGATGTTAGTCAACTATTAGGAGTCCTATAATGCTCTTTGGCTTGTTTTTTTATGATATGTTTTGATTAGCAAGAGTTCTTTATTTTAATGTAAAATTTATTCTTTCTTTAATGATTATTGCTTTTTGGCTAAATTCTTCCTTATAGCCAAGGCCTTAATGATATTCTTTATTTTTCTCTACAGATTTTAAAGTTGGGGCCTATTGTCTTTTATTTGCTTGAAATTAATCTGTGTGCTTATGAGGTAGGGATGTTTTATTTATGATACGCATTTCAACATTACTTGTTTAAACTCATCCTTTCCCAGTGGTTTACAATTCCAGCTGTCAGTATATTAATTTCCATATGTGTATGGACATGTTACTGGGCTCTTTGTTCCACTGTTGTATTTTTCTATACTCACTGTCTTAATGCTTTCCTTTTTTTTTTTTTTTTTTTTTGGTCTGAGAGGCCAACTATCTTCCTTGTTCCTCAGAAGAAATGGTAGCTATTCTTGGTCCTCCGCTGTTCTTCAGTAGAAATTCTAGAATCTGGTATTGGAATTTTGATTGAAATGGAATTGAATTTCTAGTTCATTTTGGGAATAACTGATATCTTTAGGATTTTGAGCTATCTGAACATGTTATTCCAGTTTTTTGGAGTAACATTTATTTGAACATTTTTCAGTAAAGTTTTATAGTTTCAGGTCTTGTATATTTATTAAATTTATTTCTAGTTACTTTATTTTTATATGTTTTCATAAGTTGCATTTTCTAACTAGTATATAGAATTATTATTATTGCATATTAATTTTACTCAGCAACTTTCCTAAACTCCAGTTCTAATAATTGAGGGTTCTTGGTATTCTCTGTTGAGACAGTAATAATCAGTGAAGTTTGGATTCTTCCTTTACAGTTTTAACATCTGTTATTTCTTTTCATTATCTTAATGTGCAGGCTAGGAAATAACAGCACAACATTGACAAGAAGTTGTCTTGTAGATTCTTTGCCTTGTTCCTGAATTTTAAAG